CCGCCGCCCCCCCCCCCCCCTCAGCTCCCCGCGCTCCCGGCGCCCGATCGCATCATCGAGACGTCTCAAAGCGCTCCACGGGACACGCTGCAGAGCGTGTAGTGACCGCGCCTGTGTTTTGTGGGCGGAACGGGGCAGCCGATCGCGCCCGGCGGCGTCCCCGCAGGTGTGTGTGTGTGGGGGGGAGAAGAAAACTTACCCCACTGAGCTACAGCCTTGTGTTCGCATATACCAGCGAACCCCCTCATACCCTCCCCGGCACCTCCCTCCCTCTCCAGCCTCTCTGCTCCCCCCCCCCTCCCTCCCCGCCCCCGTACCCGCTGGAACTCCATCCCGCAGTCCCTCCTCCTCGCGACCCCCTTTCCCTCGCCCCCTTCAAGACCCGTCTCAAGACCCTCTTTGGCCGGGCCTACGGTCACACCTCCCCCTCTCCCCCCACATTCTTACCTCTCCCGCCAGCTGGGAGTCCGGCTCCCCCCGTGTCGGGCGTTCCCGAGACGCGGTGTAAACGCGGGTTGTTGTTGGGTTGGGTGGTTCTGGGGCGGTTGGGGAACTGGTGCGGTGATACGATGGGACTGCGTCAGGTCGGCCGCGCGGACTTGTCTTCAGGCCACAGCGGATCAAGTCATCGACTATGGTCCTCACTCTCTCTCTCGCTCACTCGCTCGCTCGCTCGCCCGGCCATTCCCCTCAGGGTCACTGACTCCTGCACTAACCCTGTGGTTATTACACTGTGTGTGTGATACACTGTTACACTGTGTGTGTGTGATACACTGTTACACTGTGTGATACACTTACACTGTGTGTGTGATACACTGTTACACTGTGATACACTTACACTGTGTGTGTGTGTGTGATACACTGTTACACTGTGTGTGATACACTGTGTGTGTGAGAGATACACTGTGATACACTGTGATACACTGTGTGTGTGTTACACTGTGTGTGAGATACACTGTGTGTGAGAGATACACTGTGTGTGATACACTGTGACATACACTGTTAGCGTGTGTGTGTTAGCGTCTGTGTGTGTTAGCGTGTGTGTGTTAGCGCGTGTGTTAGCGTCTGTGTGTTAGCGCGTGTGTGTTAGCGCGTGTGTGTTAGCGTCTGTGTGTTAGCGTCTGTGTGTGAGCGTGTGTGTGTTAGCGCGTGTGTGTGTGAGCGTGTGTGTGTGTTAGCGTGTGAGTGGTGATAGAGTGAGGCTGCCCCCTGCTGGTCCCCCAGTGGTATCGCTGGTGTCTGCACTAATTGTTGGCCACAGAGTGCGTTGGATGGAGATGGACCGTGTGACGAGGTCAAGCGATGGCCGGAGGGGGAGAGAGCGACAGAGAGAGCTTCAAACCGAATAGAGCGGCACATTCCAGCCGAGGGCAGAGGCAGACAGACACATACACACACAGACACACACACACAGACAGTCACACACACACAGTCACACACACAGACAGACACTCACACAGAGATAGACACACACACACATAGACAGACACACACACAGACACACACACCGCATTTCACCCTCCCACAAAACACACAGTCACTGCACTTTACTGTGTGGCCCGTGAAGCATTTTGAGATGTCTCTAGTCTCTCTGTGTCTGTGTCTCTCTCTCTGTCTCTCTCTGTGTCTCTCTCGCTCTGTCTCTCTGTCTCTCTCTCTGTGTCGTCTCTCTCTCTGTGTCTCTCTCTCTCTGTGTCTCTCTCTCTGTGTCTCTCTCTCTCTGTGTCTCTTTCTCTCTCTGTGTCTCTCTCTCTGTGTCTCTTTCTCTCTCTGTGTCTCTCTCTCTGTGTCTCTCTCTGTGTCTCTCTCTCTCTCTCTCTGTGTCTCTCCTCTCTCTCTCTGTCTCTCTCGCTCTGTCTCTCTGTCCATCCTCTCCCTCTCTCTCTCTCTCTCTCTCTGTGTCCACTCCGCCGACAGTGAAGTGACCTGACCTCGGGGTTGGGGAGGGAGGGAGGGAGGGAGGGAGACGTGAGATACGAGGTGGGAGCCCAACTTGCATTTAAACGACCGGAGGCGTCAGCGATGCTTAAAATAGCCGCGAGATGCGGGGAGATAGAGGAGAGAATGGGAGGCGTGTGTGTGCTCCGGTTATCAGCTGTCCGATCGCTGTCCTGCCCATCCTAATGAGCCCATTAGGAGCTAATTGAGAGCGGCGCTGTGTGCGTTCTGACCCAGTCAGCGGCTAAGGGTCTGGTTCGGAAGCAAATTGCCTTACCCCCCGCTCAACCCGAGTCCTGTAAACATGTCTAACCTCAGCTCAGCTTCGTGTTGTTTACGTGTCGCCATCCTGTCGGTTGGGGCGGGAATGGGAAGGGAGGGGATAATATTATTATTATTAATAATAATAATAATAATAACAGCCCTGGCCCTTGAGCCGATGCCTCAACACATCCTCGAGACGTCTCAAAGCGTTTCCACGGGACGGCACTGTGTGTTTCGTGGTCAGGACGAAACCTTAGGCAAGTTTCCTCACTCCACACAGACAGACACACAGACACAGACAGACACACAGACACAGACAGACACACACACACAGACACACACGCGCACACAGACAGACACGCCTGTGTTTCCCGGCAGTCAGTAGGAACCCTCTTGTCAATCGATTGGGGGATCACTTTCCGGGGGTAATAATCCCTCCACAAAAAAATGCGGT